TTCCCTTTGAGAAGAGCTCTATTTATTTCCTGTAACATTCTAAGATAATCCTATCTCAACTGCTGGCAGTTGAGGTTATCTGAGGTCACACTTCTTTCTGTTTATTTTATCTTCAGAACACCACTACCAAAGATTCACCACTACACCATCTGCCTGTAATTCCAGCTATTTTGGATGATTTCATCATATGAATGACCTTTTAGGCCTTCACAACAAGACCAATACATCATTCAGTTGTGAATTTATGGTGCCGGTACTCCTGGTTCTTGGGAATTGTTCCTTGCGGTTCCTTTCAAAGTCACTGGCAGGGCCTTCTTCCATGATGAGATGGTAAGCCTAAAGAAAATTAGATCACCAACTGGCTTATAGGAGGCATTTTGGAGGGAAAGGGGCAAGAAACAAAACAGTTAAAAGAAACAAAAGAGTTAAAACAAAACTGTTAGAAGTCAGGGGGGAGCCCCTAACACACCTGCTTATTCCCACCTTTTCCAAACTTAGCCATAGCACCTCAAATGCCAAGTATTATCTTGTAGATCACAAAAGAAATATTATATTCTAATAATAAAATTTCATTTTGTGGTTTTTTTTTTATTTTTTTAAGGCTTATTCTTGGGAAATGGGTAAGTCATGAATAGTTGTTTACATAAATTTGACTTCTCTAGTTGTTACAGGATTAGCTTTATACCACCCCTCCCACATTGATTTCTTAGATTCTAAATAAGTTAACTTTACTACGAAATGAGGATGACAATACTCACTTCACAGGGTTATTATGAGAGGTAAATAGTATAATGTGTTTGGAACATATTGAGAAGTCCATAAATGACCATATGTACAAGATTATTTCGGAAGGAAGGTTGGGTGATCCACTTCTATAGTGATACTGCCTCGGAAACCCAAGGAGGGTCTCTATGAGTCAGGTCTGACTTGATGGCACATAACAACAACAACACAAGATTATTATTAAGAATTGGAGAGGGATCTATTTCTTTTCCTTAAGAGGATTCTGTAGAACTGACATACCAGCTTTTTGGAAAGCAATGGTGAAAAGATTTCAGCAAATTGACTTTTTAAAAATTTTTTTTACTGTGATTTGGGTCAAAGTTTACAGAGCAAATTCACTTTCCATACAGCAGCTCACATACACTTTGTCTCATGACATTGACTACAATTTACCACAATGCAATAGCTCCCTTTTCACTTCCTCCCCATAGTTACCTCTTTCCTGTGTTCTTCCCTCCCATGTACTTCTGCCCCGAGCTGTCTCCTGTGCACATGCAGCCTTTCTATTCTCCCATGATTGATCTCTCCAAGGAGTGTATCACCTAATGTAAATGTTCAGCTCATATGCCTGTCTTTTGTTTGGCTGGAAACCATGGCAGTGGGTTCAATTCCAGACCTAAAAGGCAGCTAGGGGCCATAGTCTCAGTGGTTCCATCCAGCTCTATGAGACAAAACCTGGTCCTTTTTAAAAAATATATTGAGTTTTGTTGCACATTGTTCTCCCACTCTGTCCAGGATCTCCTACATAGATCCCCCTCCGAGTGGTTGACAGTGGTAGCCGGGCACCATCTAGTTCTTCTGGTCTCAGAATCGTATAGGCTGAGGATCGCATGGTGTACCCGTCCCTTGGACTGTTTCCATGTATCTTTGGTTTTCTTCATTCTTCTTTGCTCTGGACGAGGAGAGACCCATTGTTGCATCTAGATGTCCGCTTGCAAGCTTTTAGGATCCCAGTCAATACTCACCAAAGTAGGATGTGGAACAATGTTTTGTATAGTATGTTATGCCAATTAAACTTGATGTCCCCTGTAACTATGGTCCTCAGCCCACAGGTCCAACTACTTGCTCCCTCTGGGAAACTGTGGCCCAGAAGTGACCACAACCTTGTCCCTTGTCAGCTTTACTATATACCTGGGAATTCTCACAGAACATACAAATTTACTTGTAGAAACATAGTCTGCCAACACTATACATGGTCATGGGCACATCCCAGCTGCACAGACATACCTAATCATTCAGCCTGTCCACCCATCTATCCACTTGTGTATCAATGCTGCAAATTGACTTTTACTTGTGATGTCCAATCACCAAATTCTGGTGCCTGAACTGAACATCATGCAATTAAAATTTTTAAATTCAAGTGAAATGCCACTATAACTGGGAGAAAAATGGCTGAGGGGAGAAAAACCAACCAAAATGATGCAAAACAACAAAAAATATATTTTATTGTAACTTAAAATTCATTCTCTAGATAATAGATAATGCACACATTGGATGAAATTAGTACAAAGAATATAGTTGGGTAATTATCAACATTGATGAATGTGCAGATGCCATAGAAGTTAAACTTTTCTAGGTTATTGGATTTCCTGAACAAAACATTGGCAAAAAAAGAACCTTCAACACCAAAATATGTTGTTTTTTAATGTCACTTATTTACTTTCTTTGACAGAGGCTAAAGAATGAGGTACAGAAAATATTCCAGAAGACTGAGTTCAGAGCAGAAGTCCCAAGGCACCTTGCAGTCTCATCATTGCATTATTGACTAGGCTTAAATAGGTTTAAATTCTCCATACCACAGGTTTACTACATAGAAAAGTGCTGTCTATCTACCTCACAGAGGTGTTGTGAGGATGCATATTTGTAAAGTGCTTTAGGTGCCTTTGAAGAAAGGCAACATAGAAATATCTTCCATATTTCAAAAGAAATCACAATTTTAGCACAGTGGGAAGGGTGTCTCCTATTTAAAGAATCATAGTTAGCTATTTATAAAACCTCTTCTTCAAAAATTTGTTTTTCAATTTAAGAGAATAAACGTTTCTCTATTGCCAATTTTCCAACAGCCATTCTCACACCAGTCTGTATTATTAGAACACCTTAAAGAGCTTGTTAAAAATATAGATCCTTAGGCCACAGTCTATACCTCAGAATAAAAAACTCTCCAGGTGGGACCCAGTCATCTATATTTTAAAAAGGACTCATAGGGGATTCTGATGCATACTAAAATTAAAAAAATGATTTCTTTTTAGAAAAATGACAATTCATTAAACTTTGATCTGCTTCTTAGAACACTATTTTTAAGATTAAATGAAGTTGGATCAGAATATCAATTTCTTATTGCCTTCTCCCTTCCCGTGTCCCACAAAGACTCAGAATACAACACGCACACACATATGTACACATACAATTTTTAATTCTTCCCTCGTCTTAAAAGTTGATAGTCGTAAAATTTGATAGTAACAAATAAATGCTTCATTGGGAAGATATGCAAAGATTTGCAATCCATCCCCTCTGTGCCCAAAACAAATGGATGTTTCCTATTTACAGGAATGGAATGGTTGAAATATGCATTTCCAATTTGGAAAGAGGTAAAGTCAGCACTTCCTGGGAAACAACAAATGAGTAGATACTGACCCACAAAAATGTGTGAGGTTATAACCCATTGCCTTTGAGTCAATTCAGACTCATAGCAACAGCATAGGACAGAGTAGAACTGCCTATAACGTTTTCAAGGCTGTAATCTTTACAGAAGCACATTGCTACTTCTTTCGTGGAGTAGCTGGTGGGTCCCAACTGCTAACTTTTGGTTAGCAGCTGAGCACTTAACCACTGTGTCATCAGGGTCCCATGTGAGGCTGTAGTGGCCAGCAATGAAGAAACGCTCCAGTGACCATTCCTCAGTTGGGAGCTGGCCTGCATCTCAGCAAAAGGAATTGAAACAGCTTATGCTCAGTGTTCACCAAACAACATGGAGATGTTTCATCAAGCAAGATAAAACAAAATACAGTCATGTGCTTCATAACATCCATTTGGGCAATGTCCAATTGCATATACATCTGTGGTCCCATAAAGTTATAAGAGTTCAGAAATTCCTATCAGAGAACAGGACATAGCGAATGCAACAGCTTTCCCACATGCAGCACGTGCATCTCATGTCTCTTGTATTCAAAGTCTTTGTGCTTCCAGGTGTATAAATGTACAGTACATATAAAACCTATAATACATATGTCTTGATAGTCATAATAAATGCTTGTGTTACTGGCTTATGTAAGTACTATACCATACTTTCTATGTTTAGCATTTAACAGTGTATACTTTGACTCATAACCAGAAGCATTTAATCTCATGCACTGTGCATCTCTTGGAACATTGTAGCATTACTTCTGTTCAATTTTCTTTTGAACGTATTACTGTGAAGTGCACCACAGCTCCCTAATGCGCCAAAACCAGTGCTAGAGACGGCAGCAGCAAGAAGCAGAGGAGACATATTGTTTTGGAAATGAAACAAAAGGTTGTTAAACCACAGGAAGGTGAAAAATCAGTAAACACAATTGCTTGAGATTTAGGCATACTGTCCTCAACAATCATGAGGATCTTTAGACACAAAGAAAAATTCTCCAAGCTGTTAAAAGAATCACCTCCACTGAAAGTTACAAGGTTAATAAAATTTGAGAGGGACCTATATCAGCTATGGAGAAATAGCTAATAATGGAGATTGAGCACCAAACACAAAAGCCAATCCCTCTCAGCACGTTAAGGATCACTGCTAAGGCACAAAGCTTGTTTGAGATGCTTAAAGAAAAGCAGGATTGCACTATGATATGGTGGTTCACACAGTGTCTAAAGCACATAACATCCTATTTCACAGAATGTATAGTAGATGTTAAGTGATGCATTACTGTAATGAAACCTGGTGACTGTGATTTAAAATCTTTTTCTTTTTTTTAATTATCCACTTGCTCCACTGTGGTCCTTAATGCTGCTTTAGTAACCACTTTCATTTTCCTGGTTGGCTTGAAGTCTTCTATTTACTCATCACTCTACCATAGAGAAGAAAGTGGTTTAGTCTCTAGTGGCCGTCACACATATCTCATCACGCTGATTGCATGAGATTTAAAATAGAAGCATCCCCTCTGGGTGTCTTGCCATGGAATTAATTGAGTCTGTAGAGAAACTGCACTTCCTTATACAGAGGTGGACTTCGGAGGCTGGCCCAAAGAGAAAAAGTACAGGAGATAAAGGCTGCATATACAGTACATGGAAACAGAATAATGTAAAAAATGAATCATTCAGTCAGCCACAGTGAAATGTTGCTATGAGAAAACAGTCTCGACTCTTGAGAATTTGCCTAAGAATTTGTTAAAATATTTTTGCTATATGGCATCAAATGGCAAATATTTCAATATTCCTCTAAACATTAGAGGTAACTTTGTAGAAATCAGTTGTTGGAGCTGGCCTGGGGAGTTGCTTGTTGCATGTATCCCAGGGAGGCAAGGCTGCCAGCAGCAGAATAAAGCCTCCCAGCAGGACGCAGAAGCCACTAAAATAAAATGCAATGTCATAGGTCTGGGTCCAATCATAAAACCAACCTGAAAAGGAAGTAAGAAAAAAGTGAATTCCATAGAAGCAGAATGAGTATCAAGCTCATACACTGTTGTATACGCTGTATGGATTAGGATCTGTATTTCCCTACCTACTTCAAATCGGCCTATTGGTAGTTATAAAATGATACTCTCTCAAAATTTGGACAAGAATAATTAGGTATTTTGAGTTTCTCTCAAGTAAATGAATCCTGGAGTGACTATACTGAGTTTCTTAATTATATCCAAAGTAATTTTGAATAAGTCACTTGTTGTTGTTGTTGTTGTGTGCCGTTGAGTCGACCCCGACTCATAGCAACCCCTCCTTGGGTTTCCGAGGAAGCAGGATTGCCCAACCTTCCTTCCGAGGAGTGGCTGGTGGGTTTGAACCGCCAGCCTTCTGGTTAGCAGTCAAGTGCTTTAGCCACTATGCTACCAGAGCTCCTGAATAAGTGATATATATCTTACCAACAATTGGTGGTCCAAGGCTATTTCCAAGTCCAGCAAAGAACATTAATATTCCATAGGCATGGGCTAATTTTTCTATTCCCACAGTCTTGGTGGTCACATACGGAAAAATGGACCAGTTACCAGTAAAAAACCCTAGGATCGCAGAAAGTATTGCCAACGTGACATAACTTTTGGCAAATGGAATTGCACACAAGGCCAGGCCCATTATTATTAAGGTAGCTACATAAAGATATAAGGTATTAATCCACTTGAAGTCAGCCAATATTCCTAAAAGGAGTTTACCAACTGTTGTCATAATGCCTATAATGGAAATAAGAGGCATAATAAAATCATCTTCTTTCACATTTGAACTTCTTGCTACATCTTCCATAAGTAATGAAGGTGGAAACCCTCCAATGTCAAAAAGTAAGATGGCGATAAAAAGTGCTGAGAATACTTTATTTTTAAAAAGAGCCACAGTTTCTCCACAGTAGTTTCTATATAATTGCCACTTCCTCTTGGCAAGCTGTTTGCAGAAATATGTCTGTTCTGCAACTTTCTTTTTGTACGTTTCAGCCTCTTTTGTGTGTATCATTGTTGTTGGGTTTTTATGAAGTGGGCCCTCCTGTTTCCAGTCTCCATTGGCTAAAGTACTCTTGCATTTTTCCTCACTAATGTAGCTCTTTTCAAGAATGCTTATGTTTTCTTCCAGGCTCTTTTCTTTTTCATTATAAATGGAGTATCTCTCTGGAACATTTTCCACAGCTGGTTTTTCAGGCAAAGGACAATCAGAAGACTGGAGGGGTCTCATTAGACTGCCACAAGCTAATATATTTAAAGCTAAAGCACCCACGATCAGCAAGCATCCATCCAATCCGTAGAATTCAATCAGCAACCTTTGCAGAGCAGCATATATAAAAAGTCCAACACTCGAACCTAAAAAGGAAATGAGACTATTCAATCTAAATCTCTCATAATTTAGGGCTCGTTAGGCGAGCATTCATAGTACCAAAGTCAATTGCTTTATTATGTAGCTTATATTAAAACAATAAAAAGAAAATTGAAATGATAATTATAATAATAATAGTAATACTGATAAAACATTTATTGCAAGACTTAGTATTTGTATGTCAGACACTGTCCGAAGTACTTTACATTAAATGATCTTGTTTAATCCTTATAATGATCCTATTGGATAAATCCTATCTAAACACCTGACTTCTCAGGAATATCTGCCCATTAACAACTAACATATGTGAACTTAACAACTTTTAGAAAATTTGGCAGCTGTATCTCCCAAATAAACTCATAAAATTTGGGAGAGAAATTTTCAATAAATTCTTTTAAAAACTATCAAACACCACTTCAATGTGTTTGAAAACCAAACCCACTGCTATCATCTTGATCTAGACTCATAGTGACCTTATAGGACAGAGTAGAACTGCCCCATAGGACTTCCAAAGCAACAGTCTTTACAGAAGCAAACTGCTACATCTGTCTGCCACAGAACGACTGGTAGGTTTGAAACACCAATCTGCGTTAGCAGCTGAGCTCCTGACCACTGTACCTCCAGGGCTTCCTAGAGGAAGTGCAAAAGGCTTTTATATATTTCCATTTTCCCTTCAATGATCATCTCTTGATTATTGAAAGAACACCAAGAGCAAAGAGCCCGTCATTTGAATATGCATGTAGGTCAATGAGATATATTCATGAAAAATTTATATAAATTATAATTAAAATTATATTATAATATCCAATTACATATTATAATATTATATGCTAGTGTCAATATTGTATATTATTATTATTATTATAAAACCTACTGCTATTGAATCAATTCTGACTCATAGTGACCCTATAAGGAAGAGTAGAACTGCCCCATAGGGTTTAGAAGGTTGTAAATCTTTATGGAAGATCTTTATGCCTCATCTTTCTCCCATGGAGTGGCTCATGTGTTTGAAACACTGACCTTTTGGTTAGCAGTTGAATGCTTTAATTTATAATTATAACTGCATATAAACATTTAATAACACATAAATATATAATATTAATTATATATTATTATGCAAAAAAAACAAACCGATTGCCATCGAGTCAATTCCAACTCATTGTGATCCCCACTGGGTTTCCAAGGCAGTAAATCTTTACATAAATAGATTGCCCAGTCTTCTTTCTGTGGAGTGGCTGGTGGGTTTGAACCACCAACCTTCTGGTTAGCAATAAAATGCCTTAGGCACTGTGCCACCAGAACTCCTTATATTATTATAGGCAATAATAATTAATGTTATATAATTATGTTAATAAATGTTTATATACAAGTATAAATTAGTGTCTAAGGCATCTGACTGCTAACCAGAAGGTTGGTGGTTCAAACCCACCAACCACTCTGCGAAAGGAAGACTTGGCAATCTACTTCCGTAAAGACTTACCACCTCGGAAACTCAAAGGGTGTCAATATAAGTCAGAGTAGACTCAATGGCAGTGAGTTTTGGATTTGGTTTGGTTTCTTATTTAGAAAAATTATAAATTCCATAATTAATTAGGAAAGAGATGATCAGCATGTCTTTCTAGAAATGGCTTCTGTATCTCCATTTCCCTTCCATTTCTCCCAAGGGGCTTTACACAAATGCTCTCTGCTTCTTTCAGCAAAGCCCTAACTAGCATTTGAGTCTCAATTTATTAAGGCTCATTCTCTTTCTTTTCCTGTATAGTACTGGACATCTAATGTCCCAGATTTTTCATATATGTATTTTAGAGTTTTTTGAGATATGTTCCTATATTTACCAAGGGAAATAAATTTTCCTTCTGGAAGTAGGGTAAAAAATTATGTTGCTACCTAAATATCTCTAGGTACAGGAAATTTTAACTTTGTCTAGACAACTAAATAGTGACTACACTGTACTTATTTTGAATATGTACCTGTTGAAATCAGGCCAAGTGCAAGGCCTCGACGGCTGTCAAAATACTGGCACGTAATGGTCACTGTTGCAGTGTATAATAAACCACATCCAAGACCTACACATATGAAGACATTGCACAAATTAAGACAGATGGCATTACTTCAATACAAAATTTTGAAAAAGGACAAATTCCTTATTTCCGATTGAGCATACTGTTACTGATTGGGTGAAGCACAGATTCCTAAACTCCTTCCATGTGAGCTGTACAACCCCAGTGGACATATGTGGGCAGCCTTGGTTTTCATGCCTTACCTATCCTGAGCCCAGATTCAAGTCTAAAAACTGATTCAGTTTCTAAAACATTAATGAACAATGCAAGTTAAAATTAAGACATCAGGGGGAGACAAGGGAGATGGTTAAAACATACACCAAATAGCAAAATTTAATCAAACTTATTCATTAGGTATTTCTGTCCATTTACCAATCCCTAGTCCTCTGTTCAATGCTCTTCCTCCTATAAGTCCTCTGAACAATATATATATATTTTTTAAATCACCATCAACACCCAAACTATATGCTAGAACCCATAGTTTGCACATTTCACTCTAAAACAAAGAACTCCACCAGGTCTCTGGGGTTCTGAGATTTTCCCATCACCATAAAATTTATATTTGCAAGTCTTTATCTTTTACAGATGCATGCTATATCATTTAATAGGAAAATATCATGATGTCTATAATTTTATTTAAAAGACTTTCATATGCACATACACACAAAACAGCAAATACAAGGAAACATTAACAACTGTTACAATTATGTGGAGAGTATATGGGTGTTCACTATAATTCTCTTTACTTTTCTGTACATTTGAAATTCTTTGATAATTAAAGAAATCTTATAACTAAATTTCCCTTTCTTTATTCTCAAGGGCAGTATTCATCTCCAGATCACCTCCAAGGCTCTTTTCTCTGTTAGCTTCATCTTTCTTCCATGTTCATTGCCTGACAACTCCAGTTTGTTTTCCTTAAAATTTTTCTCTTGCTTCTAGCTCTTATGTTTTGTCTTTCTTCTGCAACATTATCTTTTCTTAAGGATCACTCTATAAACATCACATGACCCATAACCTAAAAGAGAATTCAAACCATGGCCTATTAGGTGACTTATTCAGATCATTTTTATAGCTATCTGGACTATGATTAGAAAGAGTACGTAGGCTTAACAAAAACACGGTTTAAACATTTTAGGAAAGTATCACTGAAAACCCTAGATTAAGATGATCATCTGCTGTCACATAAAAAGTCTCCTAAGAAATGAGATAGATGAAAACAATTACATTTCAAATAACCTTTTAAAATAAAGTGCCCTTTTGGATGATTTAAGGGCAAAAATATTATTTCACTAATTAAAACATGAGTTGGATTAATTTATATAGTTGTCATTTCTACCTATAGCACACATTAAGACATAAAATAAAACCTATTCCTGAACAATCAATTTTTTTTTGGGGGGGGGCAAATATTTCATCTTTAACTACACTGCTGAGAGCCTTGGGAGGGAAATCAATCTATTTCTTTATGGGTTGTCGCCAGGGCTCTGTGAAATGTTTGACACTAGAGACAAGAAAAATAAAAAGACATTTTGAATTACTAAACACCAGTGCCAGAAAAGTTGAAACAGTAACCCTTACACTTTTAACCTTAGACTAAAAAGAAAGCATTTCTTAGAAAAATGATTCAGAAGCATGAGTTTCAGATAAGATTATCTGTTTTTTGTTCATTTGTTTTAATGTAGCAGAAATCTGAAGTGATTTTTCATTAAACTTTGCAAAAAGCATAAAATAGTACAATGCCTTCCTACATCTTAATCAGAAAACCTTAAAGAGAGATCAGTGGACCACAGGGTACCCAAGAATCTTTCATAGATGCCGTGAAGCCAAACTATTTTCTTAACAGTACTAAGACACAGTCTTTGCCTTGTTTACTGTGTTCACATTTATAGTGATGGAGCAAAAAAGGTGGTGAGTAAAACTGCCAGAGCTTGAACATAAACCAAAGTATTGGTACTAAACTTTATCCCTTATATGCTTCCCTACCACACACTCACTGAACAAATGAACAATTAAAGTTTTAAATGCTTTAGCTAAATTACAGTGATTGCTGCAAGAAAATTCACTTCTTTGATAGAGTAGCCAGCTGAGCCAGCCACTTTCTTTATGCATCATTGTTTCTATTTGAAAGAATGTCTAACAGACATACTATGGTTATGCAGACTAGGTCTGAGTATTTTCTTGAAAATGAACTAAGTGAACCTGTCATTTCAAGGAAAACAACTGACACCAATTGTTGCCAAAGATAAAATGTGAACATTCAAGCAAAATTTTTTTGCAAAAATTGTGTCCATTACCGTAAGTTTGACAGTGTCCCAATTCTTAAAGATTTTCGGATGAGATTGGTGGTAGTATTAAGAAACATGATTTTCTGATGTTGTATAATGAATGTGTTAATATTTTTAAGTTCTTTCTTAACTCAATGAGCCAATACTTTCAAATAAGCAATGCATGGTGTTTCCAAATCAGGCTTGAATTAAAGATCCATTTAAAGTATAGTTGATGGATTTTGATTTAACAGTAGAAAAAGTATACTGATGTGGCATCAGGTTGCACATTGCAATTAATCTTCAGGAAACTATCACTTGTTGAGTTTTAATAAAATAACAAAGAAGAGTATCTACTATTTTAGGTATACCTATTACCTGAAAATGCTATTAAAAACTCTTCTTTTTTTCCAACTACATATTTGGGTGAGACCAGATTTTCTTCATATACTTCAATCAAAACAACATATTGAAACAGACTGAGTGCAGCAGCAGATATGAGAATTCAGATGGCATCTATGAAGACAGACATTAAAGAAATTTGCAAAAATGTAAAACAATGGATATTTTCTCACTGAATTTTGTTTTGCTTTAGAAAATAGCATTATTTTTCATAATAAATATGTTGTTTATGGTAACATATGCTGGGTTAAGTATTGTTATTTTAAATGAATTAATAAATTTTTTAAATGTCTCAGTTTTTAATACAATAAATTTTAATAAGTAAACATCATTAATGTTGTTGGTAAAGAATATTAAATGTACCATAAACTGCCAGAAGATGGAATAAATATGTCTTGGAAGAAGTACATTTCTAAAATGCTCCTTAGAAATGAAGATGGTGAGACTTCATCTCATGCACTTTGAAGGGTTATCAGGAGGGACCAGTCCCTGGAGAAAGGCATTATGCTTGGTAAAGCAGAGAGTCAAAGAAGGGGAAGACCCTCAATGAGATGGATCAGCACAGTGGCTGCAAAAACGGGTCAAACCCAGCAACAGTTATGGCGGTGGTACAGGACTGAACAGTATTTGATTCTGTTGTACGTGGATGGCTATGAGCTGGAACTGATTCAATGGCACCTAACAACAACAACAACAAAATATCAATAAATATAATCCACAAAATAAAAAGTTTCTTACGATCCCTTTTTAAGATATAAAGAGACCCAGTACTAAAAAGTTTGGAAACCACTGCCTTAAGCTATTCTTTGACCTACAACAGTTTATGATCAGACCCATATCTGTGAAAAATTTCTGTGCATCTACTTCCAATGCATCCATAAATATTTTTAAATATCTGTACTACTGACAATTCAAAGCTTAAACATTAATAGAAACAAATTTTCCTTCATTTAAATAAGTAAAGCAAAATACATTTATTTATTTATTTATTTATGAGTCGGGTCTGACTCGATGGCACATAACAACAAACAACAACAACAACAACAACAAATACATTTAGATCTTCTAACATTTCTTTTCCACACTCTATGTTCCATTTCATAAACTTCTGGCTGAGACAACTTCAGAAGCCCTTTTCCCTCATCTCCTCACAGAGAACCAGACATAAGCTCTTCCCGCATCCACTGTCTAAATTATTATCCTCTCTCTCTGCTGCTATTGCCTGAGTTGCTCTCTTCACTTTTCTGATCTGAAATATCCCTCTTAATAACTGTCTCAGGAGCTCTGGTGGCGTAGGGCCTAAGGCCTTTGACTGCCCACCAAAAGGCTGGTGGTTCAAACCCACCAGCTGCTTCTTGGAAGGAAGATTGGGCAATCTATTTCCGTAGTGATACCACCTCGGAAACCCAAGGGGGGGGGTCACTATGAGTTGGATCTGACTCAACAGCAGTGAGTTTGGTTTTGGGAGTAACTGTCTCAGCCTCTAGCACCTTTCCCACCAATCTGTCTTCCAAACTGCTGCCATCCAATTCTCATTGCATTATTCTCTCACAATAAAGCACATATAAAACTCTTAATCCCTAGCCTTATCACTACGGAAGTAGATTGCCATCATCTAGCCTATTGTACAACATACTTGGAAATACTTGCAACTCTCCAAATGATCTGTGCATTCCCAAAACAAATATATACAGTGAAAAGTGTGAGAGCTGGAACTCAACAAGACTGACTTGTTTCTCTGGGTCTTGCAAGTTTTCCACCTTTGACATGGTACAGTCTCACCACTTTTCTATCAGTCATTTTAGTGGAAAATATTTGTGTTTTCCTTCTCTTACACAGATTCTGACTTTCGTGAGGTTTATTGTATAAAAAGATTGATGTTATCCATGCTATCTCATGCCTCTGAGCATTTGAGCTCCTGTAATATTCTCCTCTTCCCACTCTCACTTCTTCTGTAACCAATATCTTCTGATCACTTCCTATTTGTCCTTTAAGAATTCAGAAATTCCTGCATGAAGCCTCTTTCATCATCCTCTGTCCAACACATACACACTACACAAACATTGAACATTGGTTTGATTTTATTATTGCATGTATTTACTGTGTTACAAGTTATATATTTTCAAGTCTCATCCCCCAACTAGACAATGAGCTACCTGATGATAGGCTGTGTCTTAATTTATGCATTAAATTGTGTCCCCAAAAAACATAGTTGAAGTCTTGGTCAAGGTAACCTTGCTTGAAAACAAGATCTTTGAAGATTCAGCAATTAAATTAATGTGAGGTCATACCTGATTAGGGTAGATCCTAACCCAATATGAGTGATGCCTATAGGGCATC